GTGTGTGAAAAGGTCAGGGAATAATATTATTATTTCATTATTTTTTTACCAAAACCAACATTTTTACACATTTTATGTTATTAGTTTCTCTAAAAGTGATGCTTCACAGTAGTGTGAATTAATGCAACTTTAATAACAGTGAGAATAGCGAAATTAAAATTCTTTGAATAAATAGTTACATGTTCAGTATACCAGTAGAGTTTTTAAAAAATCTTTACATTTTTGTGTTATCAGTTGCCATGAGTTATAGTTTTGAGTTGTATCTAAATTGTTATCATTTCAACAATGTGCCAAATTTGCATTTAATCAATTATTTTATTTTGAGTTATTGCATGAGAACTGATTGTGTTCATTATTGTTTCATTGACAATGGCCAATCTAGTTATCCAATGTTACATCATCCTAGTTACATGGCTTAAGTACTTATATTATGCAGGTTTCCTGGCTCCCTAACAGAGCACATGACTTTCTGTGACCAATCCCTAAACAATTATACAATGGCATTTTATTAGAAACAAATATTTTTTATCTAGATGATGCTGCCAAATATTTTTCACATTAATTATTATCCAGTAGACAAATAAGATTTTTATACATATATGTAAATAAAAAATAAATGAAAAAGCGGGGTATTTTTTAGCCTTCCAGTGCCAACTGTATTATAATTACTGAGATATCTTTACAAGTACCACACATACTGGTTGTCTGAATGGACAGAACTAAATACTGATTGTGATTCAATTTTTTTTTTTTTTTTTTAATTTGTGAAATATGCTAAACATCATCAGCTATCATGCCATTTCAACTGTAGGTGGCGCTGTTTCCAATGTACAAATTTTATTTTTTGTGTGTGTGTGTGTGTAAGTGTGAATTTCTCAGTATATATGGCGCACACAATATTGCACCACTGTTATTTATAATAAATAAGTCTTCCATTTTTACTGAATCTCCAATATAATATACAATAATTTTAATATTTAATAATATATTATTACCGTATTCACATTATGTACGTGTTACAGTGGTTTGCCGTTAATGAGTGGACAAATGCGATGAAATTTTTTTTTCTTGATAAATTGGTTTTTAAAATATTTTGCAAAGATTATATTTTTGTTTCTTTTTTGCATCTGTGTTTGCTGTGTGATAGTTCTCAACCTAGCTGTGCGTAATCTTGTCAGAGGCTAATTTGAGAAAGAATTGTCGCATTTAATATTCAATGAACAGAAAGAAATAACCTGTCTAAGTATTCCAACTTAAATAATTCACAAAAAACATTGTAACATCTCTAATTTACAGGAGTGTATTTTCTGGAACCAATCCATATATTCTCATTAAAAATAAACCTGTGATGTCATCCGATGAATCTTGGTCTACAAATGTCATGCTTACATATTTCTTACATGTACCTGCATTTAACCTTTTCTCCACCAGACATTTTTCAACACTTTTTTTTTTTATATTCTTCAATATTTCTGGAAATGAACTAACAGACAAAGTTCGAGTAAATTTTCAGTTTTTGGCTATTTTTTAGCACAGGACTATTTTGGAAATTTGTGATGAAGAGGGAACTGGTGGTAAAGAGGTTGAATGCAGACAACATTTTCATGTAACTACCGGTAATTACTGACTACCATGTAGATGTTGGCATGCAGGCAGGATTAAATTGTATTTTGCACAGTACACACAAATCTGCCATGTTTTTACTTTTAAATGTTAATGCTTAGCTTAACCAGTTGTATAGATTTGTATATTTTTTACTCCTGTTTTTGCATGTACAACTTAACTTTGCACAATTTTAATAAACTCCTGTAAAAGGGGTAATTATTCACTGGGTTTTAATTTAGCTTATTTTGCTGACTGGAAAATGCGCTAAATTAAAACCCAGTGAATATGTAAAATTTAGCATAGAACACATTATCTAAATGTCGAAACTGAATTTAAAACCCACTGAATATGCCTGAAATGGTAAATCAGTGAAATTTAAACCCAGTGAAAATTTGTCATTTTACAGTATGTAGTGTCAAATTAAAATAAAGATAGATTTGTTTTTTTAGTTTGGTGCCCTCTATAGTCGCAAAATGACATCTAGAGATTGTGCAAATGCAAATCCATTATATATTGATTACTTGTCCTGTTTGGATGAAGTCTGAAAACGAGAACTTATAGTTTCACATTTGAATCTGTGCTGTATCTAGACTAATTTTGTTCAAACTTCTTATCACATGTGTATATTCATTTTTTTCAAGATCAAATTCCTAATGGGATTTACATTGTATATATAATGCAACATTTGCACATAGTTTTGTTTATCAGATTGGAATTGTTTTGCAGCACATAGCCTGTGGAAATCAACCACAGCAGGTGATATATTAACAAATGTTGTTCAAAATGACAGATTTACATGCATTCGTTGTATATTTTGATTCAAAATGGCTTATTTCACTTTACTACTGCTCAACTGGGGCTATGTCATGTTAATGACTTGTTAGGGGGATCAACTATTTGAAATCAATGGGTTATCAAACTGACCAGTAAAAATTTTTTGCATGCGCTTACATGGTTTATGCATTGCACCATCTTTGCAAATTTTATTTTCTACAATTATTTTAAATGGTCAACCTCGTGTATTATTTCACTTTTCATCCAGGTTCATTTCTGCCAATGACTTAATTTTACCAATACATAATAAGTAAATATCACAATACAATTTCATAGTTTCTTAATAAATTTATTACTATTATTATATTATTGACTGTATATTATATCATGGCATCATAAATATATACCAATCCTCATTATTCCCAGAATGCATTGCATTGTTTAGAGAGATTGGTTTTCAATTCTCCATCAATGTTGCAAAAGAATTAAACATTGCCAGAATTCATAATATTTTCATCTACTTGCAATACGCACATTTTTTTTTAGTTAGTCTCAAGCAGCTATTAGTAAAAACAAGGCCGTAGGAAGCAAAAATTAGTTGGTCCAGCCATCCATTGAAGGCCCGAGGCGTATGTTGACGTGGGCCGAAGTGAAGAGACGGCAGAAGTTGTCCGGCCATAGCCGGTATGGTTCCTACGGCCTTGTAAAATACACTGCAAAGGTGTGCCCAAGCGTCATGGTTGCCACAGAGGGCGCTAGTTTGTTTACTTGATAAATTCACCATTGCACTTGTAATATCTGGAAGCACCTAATAAATTAGTTTCATATCATTTAGCTCCAGATTAATATAAAGTCTGAAGAACTCTAAAATAGTGTATCTATTTGCTTATTTCATTTTGGTGCAAAACGCAAGCATAAAATGAGTCCCTCTGGTGACAAACTATATTTATGTACACCAAATCCAATACTAAATACAATATTACATATTAATTCACGCAGCACAGCAATCAGTGATAGTGTGAATTATATTGTTTAAAATCGGCAAAACGTTCGTAACTTACATCTACTGTTTGGGAATCTACGAACATCGTCAAATCTTTCCAACTTATGAAATAACAATCTCTCTCTGTCTTTCTTTCCAATTAACAACGTTATTTCATCAGTAATTTGGGAGATAAACCTTTTCTCCCAAATAGTTATAATACAATAAATGGAATGCTAGAAAGATATCAATATTGGCTATCTATCCCAAGTTGCACCTGGAAACGGATTCTTTCTTGTACGTTTTTCACACACAAGCATCATACTTTAATAGCCTGACATGGTCAAAGATAGGCATTGCGCCCTCGCTGGCGAATGCATTAAAGTGTTTCCACTGGCAGGGGCACGATAACTATCGTTGACATGTCTGGTTAACACACCATTGTCAGTAAAATAATGTTCCCCAGAGTATGGGGCAATTCCAAATTCCACTCACAAAAAGAACCCTTTTCCAAATGCAGCCATAAAATTACTGAACAGTAAAATAAATAAAGGCACTGTTGGAAATAAAATACATAGATTTGCATAATTTGTATTCGAATCGGGCATGGATTGGCACTTTTTTTTTACAGTTTATGATAGGAAAAAATGGCTTTATTAATAAGCTTTTCATATATTCCACACCAAAAAAAAATTGGAAGTCATGCAAAACTATTAAGAAATATTGCAACTACTGAATAGCCCCCTCTCCTCCACACTGTGTTAGGAGAAATATTGCTTTACAATACACATTATTAAAAAGGTGAGGAAAAAAAATGGACGCCGACATTCTAAAAATACAGTTAAGACTTACATTAAACAACTGTATATACTTATTTAGATTTAAAGATTCTCTAACTGCAAAAATAATATATACACAAATATGCAAGAAAATAATTTGTGAGTGGAATCTGGTGACTTGGTTAGTTCCGAAAATGCTGAAAACACTATTTCAAAAAAATCAGTGGAAATACTTGGTAATGTTCAGCTATTGGCACAAATAAAATCTTTTGACGCATTTGATTGAATTTTCCTCTTTTGTTTCATTTTGCAAATTATTTTATATGTTATTAAAGGCTTCCAGTAAATTATTGGTGATCAAATCACTTTTGTGAATTTGTCTCTGAAACGCACTCTCTACAGTACTAGTGTTTTAAGGGCAACCAATAGAGAAATGACTGACCAATTCTTCAGACATTATTTCAAATTAATGTACATCCATGTCTCTCTGAACATACTGAACGACTTTGTTGTGTTGTGATAACTTCCTAATCGATTGACAAAAAGAGGAAAACGTTGGAATAACTCAAATTAAAAGGTCAGTTCATTTCATAAGAAGGCTTAATAACTATTTCGTAGTCATAAACTCTTCTCACTAGAGAGAGAGACAAACGCATGCCTCATCACCAGTGATATCAACCAATACGGACGGATTCTAGAATCATGTGTGATATCAATACTGAATATGGACGGATTCTGAGACTACAAAATAAATCACAATAAATCCCTAAAAAAGCAGAGTTGAGTCAAAACTGATGCATAGAATATTTAATATCCCATAATGCATCTTATGGTAAAATATAACTACCCGGTACTTTTTCACAGTTACATATTTCCAAGACTCATCAAGGATAAACCACCATGGATGTTTTTAAGTTACGCCATGTGCACAGCAAAGCCAGTTTTAAAGTCTGCTGCATTTTTGCTTTTGCAGATTATATAGCATATTTAGTATTATCTAAAGTGTTAACAAATTATGTAAATTAAACTATTCATTCTTCATTCAATTTGTTGTGCACTGTCTGTATACATGACATTAAAAAAATTTGCTATGATGACATTATCCCTTGATGTGTATGACATCATCAATTTGGTATGATGACATCATCACTTGATGTGTATGACATCAATTTCATATGATGACATCATCACTTGATGTGTATGACATCATCTATTTGGTATGATGACATCAATGTGGTATGATGACATAATCACTTGGTGTGTATGACATCATCAATTAGTGAGTGCTCATTACAGCCTTATTAAGTAAGCAGTGAAGCAAAACATGACAATAACTTATTCATAATAGACCCCATAGACGATACCGACGGCAAATAATGAGTTATTAGCATATTCATATGATGAAAATGTGTCGTTGTTTGGATCCCAAAGACATCGGCTTCCCATTTTCAGTCCTTGGTCTTTGATCTGCCCTATGTGTATTAATACTATCACCTTGTATCTCTTGACTTGTAGGTCTTTTACCCTGGCTTTTACAACCTGAAAACAAGACATGTTTATCTATTAACTGACAATTTATTTAATGTACAGCAATGATACATTGCTAGGTAAACTAAAACATTTGGTAAATGCAATCTCCACCTCCACCGCCCCTGTCTGTGTTTACACTGCAATGCAATATGTATATACTGTGATTTAGTCCCAGGGGGTCAACCACATGCCCCTCCTAGTTCACACTAGTAGCAATAAATACAAATTAGCCCCCCCCCTCCCCCAAAATGGATAATTTGTTTTTTAATATCGATGAGGGTGTGCAGTTATTGATTTTAGTATTTTAAACTTAACATACAAAAATGTGTGCTTTTCTTTTGTTTTGTTTTTTTCAAAAATGCACATGATGACAAGACATTTTTTTTTCAGGCTTCGTACATTATACAGCTTGGAATTATGTGGAAGTGTTATTTGTACTCTGAAGTGACAACCTAAACTAAATATTCACATACTGAATTCCAATCAATCGCACGACAACAAATATTTGACTTTTATATCTTAATGGATCTTAAAAGACTTAAATAGTCAATAGATAGGGTATGGGATACTGTATACACATACATAGGTAATTTGTCACCAATGGACAAACACTGTGGTCCTGAAAGCTGAGAAACATACTTGAGGATAGAAAAGTCTCGAGTAAAAATGTGAAATATTTAAATAAATTCTTGATATTGTGCTGAGCAAAAGGGTCCACCAAATAATTAAAAAAGAAAGCAGATAAACAGAGAGGTTATCTTAACTTGTTACCATGGAGACAACCAAGGATGAAGGATATAACATGTAAACTCATCGACTGATTTGTGAGCTTAAGTATCATATCATATCATATAATTTTTTTTAATATCTGAGTTTATTGATGAGTCACAAAATATTTAAATTTAGTTCTTGAGAACAGCAAATCTCCCAATTGGCTGATAGATTTCAAAAACATTTACCTCTGATATTGTTTTAGTCATTTGTCGGCATAATTCTGGTTCATAACGTTCCTCTGCAAGATAGCTCTCCAGTACATCTTTAAGTATATTTTTGACCTGGCCAACAGGGAATTTCTTAGGTGGTGCAAGTTGGTAAGTGGGCTCGAGTCGCACCGGGGGACCTCTCATCGTCTCCTGTGGTTCGTCCATAAACGAGACAGTACTCACAGAACTGGAAACAAAAATAAGATAAACATATAATTAGTTATAAAAACTGACTGTCAGTCAAAAGCTGTATATGATGGTGTCTAAATTTGCATATGGAGGCAGTTGCTAAAATTAGATTTAATTAGACATGTGCTAAAATATACAATGGTCAAAAAAATGTTATTATTTTTCCCATGAAGAAAAAAAGTATTATTTTTCCCTGCAAAAATCATAATCACTAAGAATAGTTTAATAAAAAATATAATGTTTTTTGGTTATTATTAGTTAACAAAGTGCATCACTGCATTATTCTTTTTAGATTCTTGCCAGAATTTTCATCAACAAAAAATATATATTTATATATATATAAAAATTTAAATAAAAGCACATTAAAAAATAACCAATTTGCACTCACATCTATGTTGGAAAACAAACTGATCAGAAAAATTTTATTTTTATTGCTGATGTGAAAAGAATCATACAAAAATATCATAATTAAATTCAATCTGTTCTTTTAGTGGTCCAAGAATAAACACACTGGTTGGTAAGAAGTCTCCTAACACATAATATACCCGGGTATACAATATTTTATCCTGTAAACTGTGAATTTCTGCTTCTGGAATGTTCTTGATTTGATAATATGATTTGTTTCTAATGTTACAGTTAATTTCACTTTCACTACAGGATTAGGTTTCACACAGAAATTGTGCCAAAGTCAAAATTTAGTTACAGCATTGTTTTACTTTTTACTGCATTTCTGAATTAAATTAATAAATGAATAACATTTACAAATTATTATCACCTTGTAACCAAGTGATATCACATGTAATATAATATTCAACCAGATATGACTCTTTGCTCCCAGATTGCGTAAGCTAGCATAACGTTTGAGACAAATAACTGCGTAATTACATCCGTTCAGTCTCGTAAAATTTCTGACGATATTGATGAATTTTTAACGATAACAATACTGATATGTCCTATAAGCGTTAATATTAACGGATAATTCTAAATTAAAGTAGGTTTTATCAAATACTTTGTAATAATGGATGCATGCCTAAAGTACAAAGCTGGCACGGTTACTAGAATCAACCATTACTTGGAGAGGAGGACTAACTAATACACATGCAGGGGAAATATTTTTCCACATAAAGAAAATGTAAATTGGTGAGAAATAACATGAGACAATTATTTATAAAAACATTTTAATTATGGTATGATAGTAAAATTGTGAAGGTATAATAGTGTCCCTCTATAAAAAATTTAGAGCATGCCCCTAAATGCAAAATGGTCTGACCCTTAGTCTGACCAATTTTTAGTTGCTAAGCAATGCCGAACAGTATTATCTAATAGTGTTTGATTTCAAATAATTTAATCAACTTTAACAGTGCTCATTCAGATGGTAATTGATAAGTGCACTTTTTAGTCTACTTAAGTTACCTCCC